CAAAAAAAAATCGAGTTAAAGGGAGTAAAATTCGAGTAATCGAGAATAATTAACATGAAATTGAAGATAAAAGGGTCGGGACTTCATAAAAAAATCGAGTTATAGTAATATTCGAGTTATCGTACTTCGAGTTATGGCGAATTGACTGTAATCTCTTCATTCTGTGACGGCGTCACTGTAGAAACAACTGTATCTAGTTTAAAAGTTATTTCTCTTTTAATAATCTTATCACAGTTAAACATGTAGACTGAGAAAAAAATCTTGCAAAATTACCCTTCTGTAATGACATTTCTGGTGAAAAATAAAACATAATTTCGGTATATAAAATTTACGGTATTAAAACCATTAATTTGGTAATTTTTCCGTTTATGTCGTGACAGTTTACCGGAAATTCTGTTTTCGAATGTATAGTTCTTAGTACAACACATTTAATAAAAAATACAAAACTGCAAAGTAAATTTAACCGAATAAATATTTATTATGCCATGCTGTAAGAAATTATACTAAAATCTCCACATTTATCAAATTTTATCACAAATTATAAAAACATATTTTACTGTTTATTTAACAAAAAATTATTACTAAACCACTTCGATGAAAATTACCAAACTTTTTGGTTTTCCTACAAAGCTAGAAACACGGTGGATTTAACTATATTCTGTTAGTTTTGACCACTCTTTTTTTTTTTCTCAGAGTAGAATGTTTTGTAATCTCCACCCTGTAACACATATCCGTCCAGCATTATTTGCTCCGTCATTGCCCAAACACAGGTTTTTCTAATTTTATTTTATAACCGTCGTTGAACAACCGAACCAGTTTTTTGGGGCAACTACGAACGTTCAACTCCGTAGACTTGTCATTTTGAACACAATCCAGAAGACAAGGGAACTCTCGGATCAAGTATTGAGAGAAATTTGCTTTCGCAGAGGAGTTTTCGATGAAACCCATTCGCATTTGCGTTACTTGGAGAGGAAAACCACGAAAATCTCCCATGGTCGAACCTGATTCACCACATTGGAAGGCGAATGCTCTATCCTCTGAGGCATTACGCTTCAAACATGAGGTTTGTGGTAGTTTAAAATAAAAATCAGGACACTTTACAAAAAATCAGGACATTTTTTGGTTCAAACTAAATAACTGATATTTGCTAAATTATTTTTAAGAACGAGGAAACGATGTGCAAAAAAAAACTAGTACAATTCATTGATTTGAAAATTTCGTTTTGTGCAGCATATTTCTTTAACTCTCCCCAACATACAAAAAGAAAAATAAATGGGTAACAATAAATATTTTCAAATAAAAATTAAGATTATATTAAATTAATCAGAAATGATTGTAATTAAACTGCGTGACTTTGCTTACATTCGGCGAAAAGCTCAGAACCTGATTCTATTTGACTTTGAAAACAGATTCCTTAATACATAGATCGAAATAGTTTAAAAAAAAAACTAACGATTATAGTTATTTTCAAGCAAAAATAAATGACATCAAAACTAAGTCATGTTCATGAAATTTATACTCTCGATACCTTAAAGTTGAAGGGACGCTAAAAAAATTTCGAGTAAACGAATTCTTGAGATAACAAGTTCAGAACTAAATATGTTCTAAAATATTACTCTGAAAAATAGAGCCACGAAACATAAGAATAACTTCTAATAAATATGTATGTAATGATAGTTGACTTTAAGAATAAATACAACATAATTTTATTTTTAACAATAAGAAAAAAATTATGCATTAAATAGAATAAAAAATGGTTTACAATAAACTAACATTGTGATTTTCCGAAAAAATTCACTTTATATTTCGAAAAAAAATTCGACATAAAGTTTTGAGAAGAGATTCTTCGGTATAGGAATTCAAAATAACATAATATAATGACAAGGGGAAAATATTTTTTTGACAAAACAAGGCTTTCGAGTTGAGATATTGAAAATTTACTGTACTAAGGAATAAATGTTGACTGAAATAATCGAATGATATAAAAACTTAATGCACTGAGATGCATACTTCCCAAACTAGCTAACAGATAACAATAAAACATATATCGTTAAGAAAATTCAAATAAGCGCAGTTTTAAGGTGTATTTACGATTTAATTATACACAGGCATAATATTAAAATATTATACGTGAAATTACTATTAAATAAAGAAAATTAACCCATAAGTGTTACTTTTTCTTAATAATTGCTGCAAACAACGAAATTCGATAACTCTTGGTAGTTAATTAGGAGAAAAAACTTATTTTTAACAGATTATTACGAAAATTCACAGAACCCTCTATTACCGTTTATTACTCAATTATAAAACCGTAATCTTGACAACAAAATCGTAATATTTACGGATAAATCGTAATAGTTAGTACCACTAAATACATTGTAATCTGGATCATCAAAATAAAAACAAATGAAAAAAAAACTAAGAAATTGAACAGTTACCTTAAAAGTACTTTCGATTGTGTAATAAAAACATTACAATTTTGTTCTCTTGGACAAGAGAAACTACTCAAAAATGTTAAAATAAGTTTATCTTTAACATTAATTTCTAATTAGTGATAAATCATATTAAGAAAAAAATATCTCCATTATAAATGCTGAGTTTCTTTTCGAAAAAATGACCAAAAGACTGAAACATGCTTATAAATCTGAACGAGGAGAAATTAGTTATTGGGAGAACATTAGGAGAATTAATGGACGGTCAATAAATTTAAACTGTTAGTGATTTTTATGAATTAAATAATCTACATATTTAATAAAATAAGGAATTTTGTTTGGATGAGTATGTTACTGTAAATGACCGAAATCGGTGGTTATTGACAATCACATAGTTACTTTAGTAATTGTCCGATTATATACTAAGTCTAGTTAAGCGCACGGTATACATTTGCCCGGTATACCTTACATCAATGCTTTATTAAGATCAAGTGCAACTGCCTAGTATGCATTTAACCCGCACTCCGAACACTGATGTTTCTTCGAATACATGCTGAGATATCAAAATATCGAATGAATATAAGAATATCAATAATGCTGAGAAAAAAGAGGGAAAATAAAGAAGAGGTTTCGTTCTACGCTGAATTCCTTTTCATCCGGAAAACGTGCCGGTTTTCACTACTTGAAGTACTAGATTTCACTAGTCTAGTTTTTCGCATTTCCTTTTCTAGCCAAAAATAGTTTAAAAACAATGCAGATCATTCCTCAAAAATCACGTGTTCATCGAAGTTGTAGGTTCTAAACCAGAGATGGGCAAACTACGGTCCGCGGGCCAACTGTGGCCCGTCGGAAGGTTTTATCCGGCCCGCGGATAGAATTTTAACTTGCCGATCCAGGATAAATATAAAAAATATGCATCTATTTTCTTGTCGACTTTTTTAAAGCTATTTATGTTCTTTCTTTTTTTATCAAAGTACTGATGACCTTTTTACTTTCTCTATTTTTGTTCTACAAATAAATTGATGGAAATAGCACAGAGAGCTTCAATTGGTAAAATGTTGAAAGCAGAAGTTCTTTATAGAATAGCTGTAGATTGGCGTTTGTCTTTCTCCAGGAGCAAACTTATGGAATCGAATATAGGTGAATTATGATTCACGTGTGGCAGACTGCGCATTTTAAGCTACAACGAGAGGACGATCTAGCAATCATCTGATACAGTTGTTTCTAAATATGCCAATGTTTGAGTTTTACAAATCATTACCAAAAGCTAGCACCCAAAATCTTAATATTTCATGCTCAGGAAATCAGTGCTATGTTTGCTTAATCTTAAATATATCTTAAATAATCTTAAATATATCTTAAATAATCTTAAATATAAAAATAAAATATTAAAAATAAAATAAAATAATCTTAAATATAAACAATCATTTTAGAAGTAGACTAACAGACAAGCATTTAGCCTCGTTCCTTAAAGTAAGCACATCTCACTTCGAACCTCATATAAGGAACTACTCATATAAAAATGAAATCGAAATTTCATTCATCTCACTAAATACTTAAATTAAAACTAAAATATTGGGGTTTTTTAAAAATTTAAATTTTGAAGTTTTTACTTGGCCCGCCAAACAATTATTTTTAAACAATTTTTGGCACTCGACCAAAAAAGTTTGCCCATCCCTGTTCTAAACAAACAAACAAAGAAATCAAGAATATGAGGAGAAAACGCTATAATCCAGGGCAGATAAGGACATAATATTGTTTATCTGGAAAATCAGAACAACTACGAACCCTGTCAAATACCGGCATTTTTAATAATCAATTATTGTTTAATAATTAATCCATTATAAACAAAGGAGGAATTTGCATCAATTGGCTACTGAAAATTAACTGTGTTAATGTAGTCCCAAAATAATATGTTACTCATATAATTGCTTTTAATGAAAGTACAGTTGAATTCAGATGCTTCAATTGAGTTTCATTGTTATTCTGTTTATTATGTTATTAATATAAATTGCGATTTACTACCTTTAAATTCTGATCTGTGCATAACGAAAGTTTAAATTTATAAATTTAAATGAATATCCACTTAAATCTGAATATTCTGAATATTCATTTAATGAATATTCACTTAAATATTCATTAAACTTTCATAATGGTTCAATACAAGTTACAATAAAAGCTTAAGAGCCGAACATTTCAACTACTCTTTAGGTTCTGATTTTACATAAATTGTAAATCAATCTGACTAAATATTTTGATTGCGTATTTGAAAAGAAGACAAATGTATTTCAACCGTTTCATCAATTCATTGTATCGAAATTGTAAGCTTTCATTTTTATGTGAATCCTGAACATAGTTTTGTGATTGAATACTTGTAAGTCATCTCGTCTTTCCGTAGATGAGAGATCTGCGGCATGATAACCTGAATCCTTTTATTGGAGCCTGTATTGATCCCCCCGTCATCTGCATTGTGACCGAATATTGCTCTAGAGGAAGCTTAAAGGTAAGATCAATATATTGCAAAATATAAGTTCTTATTTCATTCATTTTTCATAATAAGAGAAAAAAAACCATTCCACTGGTTGTAGAAATGGAAGCCTTCAAAATACATTTTTAGAATACAGTAAGAAACAAAGTAAAATCATGTATATTGAGGAGCATATTGAAAATATTTGAGAAACAAATTTTAGCTAGTCATATATTAAGAGAAGATAACAAATTTAAACCAATCATTATAATTTGTGGTTTAGCAACAAAAAAATTTAATGATTCCAATAAAAACAAAAGCAAATAGTTTTGTAATAGCATGACAAAATGTATATTTTTCGAACATTGGCAAGTCATAAAGCAAAACTATACACATTTGAAGACATATTTGAAGATCAAAATTTAACGTTAGTAGTTATTTGAAGATCAAATTTAAAGGTTAATAGTTATTTGAAGATCAAAATTAATTAAATTTATTATTTGAAGATCAAAATTAATTAAGTTAAATATTATTTGAAGATCAAAATTAATTAAGTTAAATATTATTTGAAGATCAAACTTAATTAAATTAAATATTATTTGAAGATCAAAATTAATTCAATTAAGTATGACTTGAAGATCAAAATTAAATTTATTACTTTTTAGATCAAATTTAATCATTAAGGTCGAAGTGAGCAGAGAATAAAAAACTAATAATAATAGATAAACTATTAAAAAACTAAAGAATAAAATAATAAAAAACTTTTCAAATTATTTAGTGGGATTGTCAACAACATTATCTTTTTAAAAGAAAATGCATTTGAACTTCTTCCTTAAAAACTAGTCTTAAATGGTTTAAATCCCACTTAGATTATTGGCATCCATAATGGTTGAAAAGAGTTTGAAAATATTTTTATTCTGTTTCATTCAAATATTAATTCTGGATTTCTGATATGCATAGTTTTATGCTTTACAAGCATTTTAAAATATTGAGGGTGATCATTACAGTGCAACCTATATACACTGAAAACAAGAGTCTCACAAAATTGTGCAAAAATGCGTCCAAAACACATAATAGTCGAATTTAAAGAAATTTAATATTCATTATTGAGTATAGTGACATACAAGATTGAAACGGCATATCCCAAGTCAAAATTCTTGATGGCCACATCAAACAATTTTGATGGTTCATGTTGGTTTCAGTACGATTAATGAAGGTCCAATATCATTGGATGGTCACCATCATCCAACATTTTCCATTACATGTTTATGGTTTTTTAATATGCCAACAAACTTCCATCATTCCATGATGCAAAATGATACTTTAATACTATGATGGTTAACCATCAAGATAAGTTTCATTCTCACGGACTAACAATCCGTGATGGCTCATGATGGTATACATCCAACTATACATATCCATAATGATTTAATGGGAATTCTTGTTGGTACTCAGGAATATACCATCAAAACAATTTGGGGTTTTTTTCATGTTGGACCATCATAAATCAGTTTGAATTCCTACATTGGGATGATGGTGCTTCCTGATCATTCCAACATTGGATTTCTAAGANCCCTGTTTGCACTAAGTGTAACGACCAACAAGCTACTCCTGAACTTATACTTCAATGCCTAAATATCTCTAAAGTGGACCTCTTTTCAGATCCACTTTTTGTTACAGACTTACTCAGAGTCTCTAGAGTCATGGACGTGGTTTAGCTCCGCTAACCGTGTGGGCCAGCAACAACAACAACACAAGTCAAAATTCTTGATGGTCACAAATAATTTTGATGGTTCATGTTGGTTTCAGTACGATTAATGAAGGTCCAACATCATTTGATGGTCACCGTCATCCAACATTTTCCATTACATGTTTATGGTTTTTTAATATGCTAACAAAGTTCCATCATTCCATGATGCAAAATGATACTCTAATACTATGATGGTTAACCATCAAGATAAGTTTGATTTTCACGGACCAACAATCCGTGATGGCTCATGATGGTATACATTTCCATAATGATTTAATGGGAATTCTTGTTGGTACTCAGGAATATACCATCAAAACAATTTGGGTTTTTTTTTTCAAGTTGGACCATCATAAATCAGTCTGAAATCCTACATTGGGATGATGGTTACTTATGTTGGTTACCATATAAAAATACAATTGCTCATGATCGTTTTCATCAAAATTATATGTTGGTCCATCAATGGAAAACCATCAGAAATTTTGACTTGGGATAGTAATTTTCGCCTTAAAAAAGATACATAGGCAGAAACGTGCGAGAGAAATAATCGTCGATTGCCGGAATGATAACCACCATAGTTGTACAGCCCAATCCAGGGAGAGTTAGGAAGATTTAAACAGTGGCTGCTTCACTGACACACATAATAACAATTTCAATGGCACAGATAATTGCAATTTGGAAAATAGGATCCCAAATAGCTCAGTCAGAAGATCAACAATTTTAATTTCACATTTTGTTTATTTCGCTACATCTTAAAAAAACTCTTAGGGGAATGAAATGTATGTCATTATGTGTCATATCTGCCAGATAAAGTTTCCTGACTTTTTCTGAACTGGAGTGTACAACTAGGGTGGTTGGAGCATCCTACAACGAAACTGAAGGTCTTTGATTCGAATCCTGCCTGCAGCCAACGACACTTCGCAATATTTTTGAGACTATGCATATTGCTCTAAAATGAGTATATGCGGTTTCAAATTCCAACACTCAATAACGAATACAGGGGATTTTCAAATTCGACTATTATTTGTTTCCGAGATATTTTGACTCATTTTTTTAAGAAACCTTTTCTTACAGCTTAGATTTACATATATTATTCTAAATTTAACACAGTTAGTAAAATGGTGTATATTAAGCTTAACGCGAATTTTCCACTTTCCTTTTATACCGCAGTAGACTAATCGTAAAGACGCGGTTCACAGTAGAACACAAAAGTCAAGCATCATTGGCTGCGGTCAATAAGTGAGTGGAAGACCACTTTGATCAGCCTGTGAAAGGACCGAGGGAACGCGGTATCGATCCTTGTTAAACTGTTCTACGGTAAAGTGCCAGACTTCGCGCGCAGGTCGTCGGGCTACTGCTAGTCTGTCTTCAGAAGATATTAAAATATCGAATAAATATAATAATATCAACCAATAAATTAATATCAAATATTTCTGACAATCAGCAAAGCAACTATGTGATTGTTGACATTCACCGGTGACAGTCCACATTCTCTTGGTTTCGGAAATTCACGGTAACATATGTATCAAAAGTGAAGAATAGAAAGGCAAGCCCATTTTTATATTTCATGGGAGTTTTAGTCTTAAATATTTCGATAAAATAGCATTAATTCACCACCATACTAAATAATTGCTAAACAATTAATTTCTAATCAATTAATTGCTAAAAAAATAAAAGAAATTAGTTCGATCACGAAGTCACGCCAGTGTTAAAAAAAGTATTGCTAGAACAATGTAAAAAGTTTATATTCACATAATTGCATTAATTTTCATTACATAATTTTCATTGCATAATTCACATTAATTTTCTTTTGTTGAATTTGAGATCAAAAGAGCAATACCGGTAAAATAAAATTTATTAAAATATAAATTATAAAATATATAGTTTGACTACGAGGTGCAATTCAAAGAACATAAAGCACACTTAGCGATACTAAAGACATGGTAAAACTATATAGCCCCACATTGCCTTTGCGCAGTTATTATATAGGTAGTTCCCCTATAGGGAAATCATAACTTTAACAGTGACACAACATACGCAAATCTCTGGAGAGGGAAGAAAAATGGGATTACTCGCGGTTCTATAACAAAGAGTTTTTCTACAGCAAAAGTATCTGAGAAAATGAAGCAGAAAGTAACTAACATTAGTACAAAATCTTACCAACATTAAAAAAATATTGATAGAACAATATGGAAAATTTAAATTCAACAACACGAACCACTGTATAAATGTTAAAGCAATAGTTTTATAACAGAGTAAAAAAAAAGTAGTTTGATAAAGTAATCGTACCAGTGTTTAAAACAATTTGTATCTAACAGCATAACAATAACATATTATTATTGAAGATACTAATAATTTCTTACATTCATAATTTCACAACCCACTGTACTTAAGTTAAAACAATAGTTTCTGTAACGAAGTAAAAAAAAATAGTTTGGGAAAATAATTTTAATAGTGCTTCAAACAACTATAGCTAAAACAATTTATACTCAACAGCATAATAACATATTATTATTGTAAATAAAAATAATTTCTTATACTAATCATTTTAAAACAATAGTATCTATAACAAAATAAAATAAAAGTAGTTTGATAAAATAATCATACAAGTATTTAAAACAACTATAGCTAAACCAATTTATAAAATTTTTTAACTCAACAAAATAATAATAACATATTTTTTCTATTGCAAATAATAATAATTTCTTATACAAATAATTTCAAAACCCATTGTATAAATGTTAAAACAATAGTTTCTATAACAAAAATAAAAAACAAATAGTTCGATTAAATAATCGTACCAGTGTTTAAAACAACTATAACTAAACCAATTTATAAAAATTTCAACCTAAAACATACTAAATACTATTGTAAATAATAATAATAATTAAGCTCGCAGATTACAAATTTTATAATGGGTTGCAATATCACAAAGTATTGGTTTACAAAGTTTATTATTTATTTAAAAAAATATTCGCCAATTCCCTGGTTTGCATTTGAATGATTTAATATCTCCTTGCTAATTCATAGTTTGTTCTTATAATCATTTCCACAAACTATTTATTGGTGGTTACTTGCATAAAATAATATGATATAAAGCTAAACGTATTTTTTAGTGGATTTAATAATTTCCTTTTATAATAATAAAAATACTTAATTGAAAAAAAAATATTACTTCCACTTCGCAGGATATTTTGGAAAATGAAGATGTAAAACTAGACAATATGTTTAACGCTTCTATGATTGGCGATATTATTAGAGTAAGTATACAAAATTATCAATTGTTACAGATTTTTTTTTTATTTCCTTTTATTACTTGTTCGTTTCAATTACGATTTAAAAAATAAAACAAAGTAATGAGTTTACTTTTCGACTTACAGTAAGGTTTCTTTTTTATTTAAAGAAAAGTACAGATTGCTTTCAAATTGAATGATAAAATAAATTAGTGAGAAAAACTAAATAAATGAATGAAACTGGATTTGGAAAATTGATTGAGTTGAACTCGAAGCTTGAATATACCAATTGTAAAAAAAAAGGCACAGTTAAATATTTATTTTTGTTAAATTAAAACGTTGTTGTTTCTAATGAAACTTTTATGTAATCGTCGTCGAACGGCCAACCCAATTTTTGGGTTACAACTACTAATGTTCAACTCCGTAGTCTCATAATTTTGAACCCAATCCAGAAGACTTTTACCGCTTATACTTGAACTCCTGGTTCAGTTCCAGTACTGGGAGAAATTTGCCTCCGTGGAGGATTTTTTGATGAAACGAACCCGTATTTGAATTACATGGAGAGGAAGACGACGAGAAAGGGGACTCTAACCTATGATCCGTCTACCACTGAGGATGTTTCACGTCAGCACTGTGGTCGGTGCAAGCCGTTTGCGGAATTCGTATCGACCAGCCATCACCGGGACCCGGTTCACCTCATTGGAAGTCGAACGCTCTATCCCCTGAGCCATCGCGGCTCTTCTAATAAAACTTGCAAATATCAGCAAGCCTACTGGATAAAACAAGCGAGTTTAAGGCCGAGGGTGCGTTTCTTGTTTTTCTGTGGTGCCATCTATGGCCAATAATGTCTTCAGCCACACACGCGTCGCAGTCCGTTTACAGGTTTGACTCATTCATACATCCATTTATTCATCCACAGATCGTAGTTTTGGTATAAATTGTTAAATTAGAGTAATTTGATCTATTACAATTTGAAAAGCAATTTGTTATTTACTTTTGATAAAAATAGGGCATTACCTACCTACATGACAGTCAAATCAGATCTCATGGCAACCTCAAATCCACCAACTGCTTAGTTGACAGTCGATGGGTTGTTAAAATAGCCGACTATGGTTTACATGAGCTCAAATCTGGAGCTGAAGCTGGAGACGACGACGCTACAGATTTTGAAAAACAATGCGAAAGTAAGTAAATGTTCTCAAATTTTGTAATGGGTTGCTGTATTATAAAATGTTGGCTTAAAAATTGCTCGATATTTATTTAAAAAAATATTCTCCGATTCCTTTTCCTTGTTTTTGATTTAATAACGCCTTGCCGATTCATTGATTTTTTCGCTTCCCGTACCCTGTAAAAAATGCTCCGTTAAAAAGCGATTCTACTAAAAAATTATTTATCAGGCATCTTATGCAAAATTACACACTGCAAAAAATGCGTATTCAAATTTAAAGAAACTTTCTTCGNTTAAAAAATGCTTTAAAATGCGAAATACGCCCCAAAATTTAAAGAAAATGCCCTATAACTCTCAAAAAATGCTCTAAAGGACAAAAAATGTCCAAAAATGCCAGAGATGCAAAAAAATGCAAATGTCATCAAAATCCAGGCCTTACTTATGACAATAAATAAAATACCTTGAAATATATGAGAGGAGAGTTCTTTGGGAGAAATACATTAGGAAAAAAATCGTTAAACTGATAATCGGTTTAAAGTTAGTTACTAAAAAAAAGAAGAAACAAAAGCAGAAAAAAAAGTGTGCAAAAATCTAAAGGAAAAAAAATAACGTCGTAAGAAATGTTTTCACGTAAACATCACACATCATGTATGAAAAAAAAACTTAAATGATTTCCATAAAAAAGAGATGCGTAGTTGACAAAGTGTTGCACCGGTTTCATTGTTGTTATCAGTTTAATTAACTTTTTCATTTTACCATTCAGAAGGCATTTCTATTAGTTAGAAATTATTATTTAGAAGGAACTGTTTATTGATGAGAAGAGCAGACTCATCTTTTTCATCTTTCAAATATACTCAACGTTTTTGAGAATATAAAGACGATTTGGAACCTCACCAAAAAGCATTCCTCAATCATTCTAATCAAATTAATTCAAATATAAAATTGCAAGTCAGTCCATCTAATAAATGTCTTTTGCCGTCCTTAAAGCTTTTCAATTACTTAGTCAAGTAACATAATATTATCTACTATGCAATGTTATCTTCTATGTGTACTAAAATGCGATACTAAATTAATAACTTTTTATCTTCACGAGCAAAACGGTAAAGAATTCCTAGGAAAAAGCAAGCGTTTTAAAATCTAACAAAATGTTCAATATTTTGCCTTTAAAGTTTACGTGTGTGCTTTAAAATTTTTTGTAAATGTTAGAGAAACTTTTAGTTGATATTAATATAACAAATAATTTTTGAATTTTTTTATTTTTTTCATTTCCGATTAGTTTGAATTGCATAACTATTGTCCAGTTCTATGTAAAATTGGCTTGTTTATATCAGTGTTGTTAGTATTACTTGTAAGTTTGTCTTTTGGCTCTTAAAATGTTATACAAATTCTAAATATTTGTTAAAAGCATACACCGTAAAAATGTTTAGGGTATCTCAACAAAAAAAAAAAAAAAAAAAAAAAAAAAAAAAAAAAAAAAAAAAAAAANAAAAAAAAAAAAAAAAACATCGGGATAACACCAATAGTAGCGCATACCCTCCAACTGCTACGGGATTTCCGTAGTTTCAGAAATCTTCTTTTCAGACGGTAGCAAAATTAATGTCTTAATATTTAAAAAAAAATAATTTTAGCGTAACTTGTCCACTATTACTTATAAAAGTGCAGGCCATATGGCTAGATTCTTAAGTTCTGATAAAAGATTTATGAGAGATCCATTTGCTTTAAAAATTTCTACTTTGGTTCGCTACCACTAGAAAGAATTATTTTCAAAATCCTCATAAGTTGGAGGGTATGGTAGCGTAGTCAAGGACCTGAGGTAATTTAAGGTGTAATCAAATAACAAGTACTGGTTGCGTGAGAGACCATGAATATTACTATTTTATATGTAAAGTTGTTGTAGCCATTATTGGTATTCCTTACCAATTAAGATTATAATAACAGTATTAGATATAATACACGTAAAAGTTATCTGCATAAAGAGTCATGATGATATTCACGAATCAATCAAAAGTAAGCACAGTCAGTTTAGGATGTCTACATACATTAATTCTAAAAATAAAATTAATTTGTAAATCAAATACAGCAGAGAAACTATTAAAATAAATCAGGTTTTATCAGAACAGAAACGGATTGAAATTACACATAATAAAATTATTTCATGCAGTTGACTCATATTTAAAAATTAAAACAGAGTTATCCTTATTATGCAACTAATAACATCATACATTTTGTTACGGCGAACTTTTTTTTTTTGTAGAAGGTAGGTTCTTTATTTACGTCGCACTAGAGCTGCACAATGGTCTATTGGCGACTGTCTGAGAAGCATCCCTGAGGATGATCCGAAGACTTACCATCGCAATTTCGATCCTCTGCTCTGGTAGCCCGATGACCTGCAAGCGAAATCGGGCACTTTACTGTATAACAGTTTAGCGAGGATCGATACCACGCACCTTCGGCTCCTACTCAGGTTGATCAAAGTGGTCACCTACCCGCTTACTTACAGCAGCCAGTGAAGCTTTACTTCGGTGTTCTATTGGGAATCGTGTCTTTACGATCAGTTCACACGGGACTGTTTTGTAGATGCATAGCAGAGAGCAAGACAACATCAAATTCAAACCACTTTGTATTCGAATGTAAACAATTTACTAAATCTATCTAAAATACGCCAAAATTGGCGAGTATGGAAGCGAAAACGATTCATGAATGGTGTGAATGTACGTAGGCTTGATGGAAACACTTCATTTTATTGGTGCTATAACACACTTTAGAGTTCAAATGAATGGTAAATTTGGTATCAACTTAAAATAAAGTGTCCATTCATAAATTTTTTTTGAACATCAAATAAGATATTACACCATTACACTATCCTCAAATACTACATTGTAGTTTTCATTTATTTTGGGAAAAACAATTTATCAAATTGGATTGTATTTTTGCGGGATATAGAATTCATACAATCAGCCTTTAATGCATCAAAGCTATTTCAGAATTGAAAAAAAACATGTTACAAGAGACTTACGAGATATTATTTCAAAAAATTGAATTTTTCTATTTATTTAAAGAAGAAAATCGGAGAAGTACGAGAAAATCTAGTATGAAATAACGGGCGAAGTTTTATATTTCCTAAACTTTCGGCCGAGTATTACATTTTTGTCTCAAATATATATAATAAACTTCATAAAACAACATTAATAAATACTAAAAGCGGATGGACTATCTATTATGTCATAATTGAAAAAAAAATGTTAGTAAATAAATTTTTGTTATACAATATTACCGAGAATGCCTCAGAAAAAGTGTAAATGTTGGAAAAGAAACTGAATTTCAAATTAGAAAAAGTTAGTTTCATGTTTAATCCAATTTATATCAAACTTAAAAATAGAAAAGAAAAAAACTCTGGACTTTCATTTAAGTTACTGAAAACGGTAGAGTCTTAAGGAATCATTTAATATTGTCCCAGAAAATATCCAACGATTTGTAAAATTATTTAAAAAGAAATATTTTCATTTAAAGAAGATGATAGAAATATCTGCGTTTAATCTAGAAAACCAGTTCATTTATTCTCCCATGGTCTCAAAATCAGTTACAAAATACTCACTAGAGGGAGCACTATTTTACTGAATTTTATAATCTGCGACCTGTTCGTTTTTTGGGTTGAGAATAACAAAGGTCAACTTCATAGTCCTGTAATTGTGAACTCAACTCAGAAGGCGGGGGAACTCATAAATCAAGCATCAGAACAAACTAGCCTTCGTAGAAGATTTTCTGCAGAACTAACCCGCATTTGTGTGAGCAATCACGGAAACCTCTTCGGTTAGTTTGATGACGAGGAGATTCTAACACATCATCTGTCTATCACTTATTCAAGACGTTTGCGAAATTGCCACTATTTGTAATATGGTGCACAGTCTGTTGGTAAAAGTAACAAACGCCCCTACAAATATTTTAGTTGTAATGGATTTGATATGCAGCAGACAAAATATTTCACAGTTTTTCCAATTTGAATTGCCATGTATTGATGAAATCTGTAACTAATTTCAAAAACGTAAAAAGAAAAATATTCCTAATTTAATAAGCTGAACGCAGCAAAAAATATATTTTATCATATGTATTGTTCTTATTTAACTTGTTTTAAAAACAGTTATTTTTCATAAATCTGAAGAAAAAAAATATAAGCAAAGGAGGTTTTTTTTTTTTTTTTTTTTTTTTTTTTTTTTTTTTTTTTTNTTTTTTTTTTTTTTGCTGCAAGGGTATCATATTGACTCTATAAAAGCTATGGAAATGCTTAAAAAACAATCATTATTTCGTGAACATCTAACATAAAAAATACACTCATCTAAACAATCAGTAGAATAATTCAAGGATATGGAATAATATAATAAATACATTGAGATTATTCAATTTTATATTCAAAATGAGATGTTGCGTAATTTTTTATCGTTAACCTCTTAAATTTAAACTAAATACATAACTTGATTTTGCATAAGAGGAAAAATGTATGGAAATGCGGAAAATATTGAAAAACAAATCATCATATCAACTCAAAAGAGATTTAGTTTCTTAAAGCTTTTGTTGTGCAACGAATTATTTAATCGAAGGTAAACTGTGTTATTTGCTTTTTTAAAGTATTTTGTAAGTCTCCGAAAACAATAATGAATAATATATTATTAAAATACTACTAGGTATAACACTTTTAACAAAAGCTCATATTAATGATTAATAGTTGAGTGCATTCTAAAAAATTTCTTCGCTCAATTACGGTCAGTGAGCAGAAAATATTCTAGTCACTGACCGTAATTTTTAATCTATGCCCGTAAAGCTAACATAACCATAAAAATACCGCTTTGCCCTTAATTTTTTTCTCGTAAAACGTATGGTCACTGACAGTAAATTAGAGTTATACTCCTTAAAGTTACCTTCAGTTTGGACCTTGGCGTTCTGATAGACTCAGACGATTTGTAGGTCGAATCAAAGCGAATAGTTGAACGAAGCGAAATTATGCAGCGCTGCCATCTGTCA